GATCTGTACGACCGGGGTTGGTTGTTCAGGTTTGGTTAGGCCTGAGCAGCATGGATGTGCTGTTTAGTGTTGATTAAAATTGATGATTAACTACTCTACTGTTTTACTTATCTTAAATCTTTGCTAAATGCTGCTTTTGCAAATGAGCCTATATTATGCCATCCTTCGGAATCCATGTGCACTTGCATATTTGCTGTGTGGCTTGTTGAGTATGTCATATGCTCATTCTTGCAATAATCATCAAACCTCAGTTGAAGATAAAGGATCCAGAAGGAGAAGACGTTTGGCTTATACCCCAGTTGAGCTGCCTGTGGGAGTGGAGCTGAAGCCATCGCTAGACCGTTAATTCCGCTGCTGTTTTCTTTTCTTTGTAAGTATGTAACGTTATTATTAAGATGGATTTGTATATTAAATTGTCAGTTTGTGTACCTCGGCTGATTCCTGGACGAGGATTTTATGCACAAATTAGTTCGGAAATTACTAGTGAATTTCCGGGCGTGACAGTTTAGTGGTGTGAGAGTCTTCAGTTTTGTAATAATGAAACTCAGTTAAGATCAATAAAAGTTAAAGTAATTCTCTGTCCTAAGTAGTTTCCCCCGGTTTCTCTTCTTGTGCCCTGTCCATGCCAGATGGTGCTCACTCGCAGCAACGGGAATGGCCCCAACAACAACAATAACAATAACAATGGAGAGAATCCCACACTTGCCCAAGTTCTTGCTCAACAGACTCAGTTAATGAACATGATGATGCAGCAACTTCAGAACCAGCAAAACCAGGGAAATAACTATGCGCCTCCCCAAAACAAGTTAGCAGAATTTCTTCGTGTGAGGCCGCCTATTTTCTCTAGCACCACTAATCCTGTTGAAGCTGGTGATTGGCTCCATGCCATAGAGAAGAAGTTGGATTTGCTTCAATGCACTGATCAGGAGAAGGTCTCATTTGCATCCCATCAGTTGCATGGCCCTGCCTCTGAATGGTGGGATCACTTCCGTCTGAATAGGACTACTGCTGAACCTATCACTTGGCTTGAATTCACCGCTGCTTTCCGGAAGACGCATATACCATCGGGAGTGGTGTCTCTCAAGAAGAAGGAATTCAGGTCGCTCACTCAGGGATCTCGCTCTGTTACGGAGTATCTGCACGAGTTCAATCGTCTTGCTCGTTATGCTCCGGAAGATGTACGCACTGATGAAGAGCGCCAGGAAAAGTTCTTGGCAGGACTTAATGATGAGCTTTCTTACCCACTCATGACTGGGGATTATCCTGATTTCTAGAAGTTAGTGGATAAGGCTATTCGCCAGGAGGACAAGTACAATCGCATCGAGCAGAAGAAACGTCGGATTGCTCAATTCAAGACACAACAGGGGAATAGTCAGAGGCCGCGTCTTACTTTAGGACCCCAGTCCATGCCACAGGGAGGTTCTTCGTCTGTTGTTCGTCCGCAGCGTCAGTTCTTCAACAACAATGCTGGCAACAACATCCGCAATCAAGCTCTACGCCCTGTTGCAGCCTCGACACAGCAACAACCTGCCAAGAGGGAGCAAGGCAGAAAGCCCGTGGTGTGTTTCAACTGTGGAGACCCAGGACATTACGCTGACAAGTGTCCGAAGCCCCGACGCGTGAAGGTTGTCCCTGCTCAGAGCAACTCTACCGCACCAGCGCCAAAGGCCCGTGTTAATCATGTCGCTGCTGCAGAAGCTCAAGATGCTCCAGATGTGATTTTGGGTACGTTTCTTGTTAACTTAGTTCCTGCAACAGTGCTTTTCGATTCTGGTGCTACACATTCATTCTTATCTATGAGTTTTGCGGGAAATCATGGGATGGAAGTAGAAGATCTTAGACGTCCTTTGATGGTTAGTACCCCAAGTAATCAAGCACTCTCTTTGCAACGTAGCCTCTCTGTCAGAATAGAAATTCAAGGAGTACCATTTCTGGCCAATCTTATCCTGTTAGAATCCAAAGACCTTGATGTCATCCTAGGGATGGACTGGTTAGCCAGATATAAAGGTGTGATAGACTGTGCCAACAGAAAAGTAACTCTCACCAGCAATGATGGTCGAGTTGTAACTGTTCATGCATTGTCTTCTGAGTCCTTAAGGTCAAGACTGAACCAAATAACTTTGGAAGAGATTCCTATAGTCCGGGAGTATCCCGATGTGTTCCCAGATGATTTACCTGGTATGCCGCCTAAAAGGGATATAGAGTTCAGAATAGATTTGGTACCAGGAACAACTCCGATCCATAAGAGACCTTATAGAATGGCAGCCAATGAGTTGGCAGAAGTCAAAAGGCAAGTAGACGATTTGCTTCAGAAAGGATACATCAGACCGAGTTCATCTCCATGGGGAGCTCCGGTTATTTTTGTGGAAAAGAAAGACCATACCCAGAGGATGTGTGTGGACTATCGTGCACTAAATGATGTGACTATCAAGAATAAGTATCCGCTGCCCAGAATTGATGATTTGTTTGATCAGCTTAAAGGTGCCACTGTTTTCTCCAAGATAGATCTTCGATCAGGGTATCACCAGTTGAGAATCAAAGAGGAAGATATACCTAAGACAGCTTTTACCACTAGATATGGGTTGTTCGAATGTACTGTTATGTCTTTTGGACTTACCAATGCCCCTGCTTTCTTCATGAACTTGATGAATAAGGTGTTTATGGAATACCTAGACAAGTTCGTGGTGGTCTTTATTGATGACATTCTTATGATCGGAGCGAGGATCAGGGACACGGACTTCTTGCAAGGAGATGACATTCTCTGGATCAATTTCAGGGGAATCTACGAACTATACCAGCTGGACGCCCTCGACGTCTCTATTATGAGTTGCTGGATTTTGTAAGTATATCGTTCAGTTAGATTTCTTACTATACGTCTCCTTTAATTAATTAGGTCCTTGTATATAAGTAGACTATAGAAAATAATATACTCCCTTTTATCGTTGTAGAATGGAGATTCAAAGGGCCCGACGGCGGAGGGTTTTCGATACTGGATTCATCGACCCTCGGAGAGTAAACGTCACAATGCTTGACCAATATCCACAAGAAACAGAGGACAATCTCGTCCATCTCCTGAAGGCGCAGCATTACAAGACGTTCATACTGTTGCCGTACAACATAGAGTTAGTTTAATTTTACTGTCTTCCTACATACCAAATTTCATTCCCGTACGAACTTGCTAAGTGTTTCATATGTAATGCATCCCACGCACATTGCAGATTCCACTGGGTGCTTTTACTCTTCGACCTGTCGGCCTGCACCGTCAACGTATATGACTTAATGGATAAAAAAGAGTCTACGTTTGACTATTTTTTCGAACTTATAGACAGGTACCGTCATAAGTTCCTCTGTTAATTAAGAAAATCTTGTTATGTTAATTGCTACTACGAATCATAGCTTTAAACTCCATGTAGGGCTTGGTATCGATTCCGTCATTTGGTCCGCGGCAAATGGAGAGAAAGACTTAGGCGGAAGTTCAAATTTCCTGTGAGTACACATGCTCTATATTTATATTTCTCCGATTCAAATACATACAAGTGTATATTAATTAGATCTCTCGTTGTTTGTCATTTATTTGTAGTGCGCAAAGCAAAAGCAGGGAACTAACTTGTGCAGCTATTACGTGTGCGAGTATTGCCACTGCCTTGCAGACCAAATCATCACCACAAGAGAGCTCGATGTACGTACAAATAAATTCAAAATTTCATTACGTAACGATTTCTTGTTTAATTACTAATCAATTTCATACATTCATATAGTTTATTCGCATGAGGGATAACCTGACCACACACAAGGAATTTATCGCGGCGGTTCAAGAACAACTCATGGGATTCATCAACGAAGAAATCCTTGATCCCAAGGGTGAATTCTACTACGACGGAAACACAATTCACCGGTCCTTAGCTTCTGAGCTAGCAGCGAGTACTACTACTACGTCGAAATCGTAGCTATCTAGGACATATAATGGATTGTAATTAATACATGACTACATATGTTTCTATATGCATGTGTACACATTTTCTATAATGTAAATATATTTTGGTCATATATATATATATATATATAGTAAATTTGTTTGTATATATACATATGCATTTGCATAACATATATATGTATAAGTACACAGGGCCATGCAAAAAAAAAAAGGTCAGCTCGATCTTTAGTCCCGGTTGGTAAGATCGATCTTTAGTACCGGTTATTTCACCCGGGACTAAAGATAAAGATAGCGATCTTTAGTCCCGGATTGGTACTCCCGGTTTGGAAACCGGGACTAAAGGGGGGTTATAAACCGGGACTACAAAGGGTTTCTCCACCATTGACAGACTCAAATTTTCAGGGAAAATGTTTTGCAAAATATTTTAGTTGCACTCTTCTCGATTCTTCTGTTGAAGTGATGTTGCCTTCTCTTAATTTCTTTTAACTTGGATTTAAACTTTATTTGCAAAGTTAATCGCTCTCTTTTAAAATGTAAACCTCTCTATCACTACTAGGAAAATGATTTGTTGCTACGAAAAAAATCGTGGCAACAATGCTAAAATCGTGGCAATAGATACATATTGCCACCATTTTAAAACCGTTGCTAGCCGTGGCAATAGAAACAGTAGCAATAGGTTATTGCAACAATTTTTATCTAGTGGCAACAAACTTTGATAATGCCACAAAATAATCGTGGCAAAAAAACATATTGCAACACTTAACATCGTTGCAACAAATAATTATTGCCACCACTTCGTGCGTGGCATTAGTTGTGCTTGCCACAAAATAGTTTCGTTGCAATATCTAATATATGTTATTGCCACATAGCATTAATCGTGGCAATATATCATATGGGTTATTGCCACTAAAATATTTTTGTGGCAATAAGTATTATTACAATGAAATGAATTTCTTCTAGCTTTTATAGAAAAGAAATTGTGTTACATCAGTAATTGGATGGATCATTTGGTACTATTGCAACATGAGTAGAAATATATGTTAAATGGCAAAACCCTTGCAACTCATGCGCACAAGAATTATGATGTCTGATATTTCCGCGAATAAGACATAATATATTTCAGATACCCAAAGTAATGATGACAATATGAGTATGTTAAATTTCCAAATGCTGAAATACAAGTTGTCTGATAAAACTAAAAGTTCTGAAACTAATGAGTTTGTAACATTGTTGTCGAAACTAGCTTTTCTAGCCATCACTTGTTTGATTTTGTCGTGGTTTGCTCCAGCCATTCAACAGTAACAGAGTTGATTGTTCCTCCTGTACAAATGTATGGACATATAGTTACAAGTCGTATTTAAAGTAAAGAAAGTCACCATGTAAAATGCAGAGCTATTTTATCTAGTTTTCTGCTAGCATGTATAGTTACCAAAACTTCATAATTTCTTCAAATAAAGGACATTGCCAGAGTCTGCAGTGCAACTAATTTTAGTATCTAACATGATTAAATTGAGTTAGAAGTCATATGCCATAACTATCATGCCACTGTATGGACATGTGTGTTCTTTGGATTGATGGAAACATAAACAAATGTGATTAGTGCTCACTATATCTGACATTTTTTAAGCCATGCCCCTGTTATTTACTGACTTGTGAGACCCACTGAAATATATATGCTTTGTTACATATGTGGTGGCTATATATAGTACTGTGTTGCTAATCATTTATATGGCATGCATGCTTATCTTAGTTAGCTCAGATAAACAAAACAAAGGTCTATGGGGCAGTAACAGAAGCTTAGATGCCCCATATACTAATAAACTAAACAGGCAACTGTTTTTGTCAGCAAAGGGGACGTGCCAAATACTAATACAATCCAATGAGTTAAGTAGCAAAAGTACCAGATCATTACCTGGATGCTACACCAAACCCCGAGCTGATTTAGATATTTCTTTCATTCATTCTTCCATTTTCTCCTCTGGCCTGTTACAGGATTTGGCCATACACAATAAGAAATTATTTTTTTTACAAACAGACCATGAGCAGGAAAACATATTGTAAATTTTTTTGCAAAAGATCATTTCAACATAGCAGCTTGCTGAAGATTTGTAATTACCTGATCAGTTCGGGACCGTACAAAATTTCTAGCAACATTCCTAAGATGTTGTGAAGAAATATTTTGCCGGGTAGTACTTGTTGTTCCTTGCAAATTAGCGCCGTTAAAAAGTGCTTTCACAACTGTGTTGTTCTGAATGCTTCGAGCCTTCTTTGTTGTGTCATGTGGTTCTCTATTCTCAGTTGGACAATCTATTGCCAGATCAGACTTCACACCATAAAACAAGAAATATATATATTATGATTCCACATTTGACATATATAAGATATCAAATATTGGTGAATGTGAACATTTTGGCAATCATTACCTGTTGTTCCGATGCTACGCTTTGCGTAGTAATCATTTTGAGAATATCCTCCCGTAGCATTTCCCTTTCCTTACGTTCTTCTGAATCTTCCCGTGACATTGTCATCATCTGAATCTTCACCGTGGTAAACCCACTGTATGTAACTTTCATCGAATCCATTCCTTAGCAAGTCACTTTGCACTTCGGAGCGTGTTTTGTGCACCACATTAAGGCATCTTCTACATGGACAGGGGGCATTATCCCCAGGATTATCATCTTGAAATGCAAAATTTAAAAATTCCTGCAACCCTTTTTGCCACTCTGCAGTTGCCCTACTCATGCGCATCCAACTCCTATCTACTGACATGCTTCCTGCTTATCACTATACAATATTACTAATAGTATCAAACCACCCATTTAATGAAAAAAAAACAAGGAAAATATGGTTGGCACTTTATGATCTTAAGGAAAATGGAGAAACTGTGTGAACATAAACTCACCTTGCCAGAACTTGTCTCTGTAGGCTGACCAGAAAAAATATTCCTGTACAAAGATATGAACAGATAAATTAGAACTAAACAAAATCATGAGGATTTGAGCTGAAAAATAGACATTGGACAGTAACAGATATATTGGTATTCCCATGGAAGGTGTTTCTTATTTTTCAAAATTCATATGGGAAATTGGACAAACTGAAGAAATTAATAAATATGAGAGACCGTGTATAGCAAATTTGGATATTGTGCAGTATAACCAAGGTAACCTTGTGGGAGACAGAAATTCAGAAACAAAGACAGAAATTCAGAAACAAACATAACTCATCTGAGCTATTCTACGCTAGCAATGCTCGCCCTGCCTGCTCTGCTTGCCTACTAAGATAGCTAATCTGAAGTTCTAAACTACTCACTGTCGCTGCCGCTGCGGCCGTCACCCCATCTGCAGCAAGCAACATCCTTTGCTCTATGTTACCGAGATACAGGGATACGGATATGGATAGGATACATCATTTTCTGAAAAACATGGATACGGGATACGTCTATATATGTATACAAAAATAATATGAATTTATGCCTGGGAAATCAATAGCAGTAGTAAAAAAAATAAATCATGTCTTCCAGTCTGATTTCTCTCTATCTTCTCCAATAACTCAATTTAATTACCTCCACAACCCATTGGATGGCAGCTTTGTGCCCTGGCCTACGTGGTAGTGTGGTGGCGATGGCATAGGGCGTCCGGCGGTGGAGGCAGTGCTACGCCCAGCGGCGGCGGCGGCAGCGGCGCGACGCGGCATATTCGGCATCCGACGATACACCCGGCTTCCGTCAACGGCAGCGCTGCGCTCGGCTTCCATCGACGGCGGCGGCGCTGCGTGCAACTTCCATCGATGGCGCCGCGGCCGACCCCCCATCTGCAGCAAGCGACATCCTCCGGCTCCGCTTCCTCGTCGACGCCGGGGCCGAAGCCGACCCTGTGTACCCTCGCATCCTTCCATTGTAGTGGCTCTCTCATGCGTTGACTGAACCCTCGTCTTCCCCAGCGAACCCTCGTCTTCCCCGGCGGATGTGGCGCCTCTAGCCAGGCACCTCGCTTGGATCCCTCCCGCACACATCTCCGGCATGTTGCTTGTGGAACTAGGGCTGGAGGATCAGATCGGGATGAGGAAGATGAATTGGAGGGGATGCAGGCGTCATCCGGTCGCCGGCGCAAGTGAGGCGGCACAGAAGGCGGTGAGCGCCGACGGATTGGGAAATTTGGCTAGACCGTGAAAAAAGAAATTGTGTATTCGAGGAGGATGAGGGGATGAAAACGGAGGATACCTGAAGGCTGAAAGCTGAATCACTGAACGGAGTGGAGGAATTCCTCGTGACGCGGTTGACGGCGGCACCGTCGCGGTGAAATCACCAGGCGCTGCTCCTCCGTGAGACTTTGGAAGTCACGGGAGCACTGCCCAGCCGTGTGAATGGAATAGATTAGATTGATAAATAGTACTAATAACTGAACTAACTTTTTCGGGAGTTAATCGATCTTTTCACGCGCCCAAAACCGCGAAACACAGAAATATTTCGCGCTAAATTTTGGGAGGTTCGGCTGAGTCGTGGCAAATATTGTGTGCTTATTGCCACAAAAATCGAAGTCGTGGCAATAGGGCTTGTACGTTGCACCGATATTTTTTTTGTGGTGATAGCTTAGTTTTTATTGCAACGATATTTTATTTGTGGTGATAACTTATTTTTGTTGCAACGAAAATAAAAGATATTACAACGATTATACATCGTTGCAACAGAATATACTTATTTGCCACGAAAAGTTTTATCGTGGCAATAGTATGATATATTGCCACCAATTATTTTTCGTGGTAATACTTTCGTGGCAATAGCTAATTTTTCTTGTAGTGTATTTATTTTCTTTAATCTCTAACTTTAGCTCTAGATTATATTTCCTTTGACTCCTTTACCGAACATCTCCAACATCCACAAATACCCTTTTCATTCCCGCTCAACCATCTCTAGAGCCGCTCAACCATCTCTAGAGCACATGAAATATCAATCTCTCTAGAGTTAATACCTTTTTCATTTAGAGCTTACCATACAACCAGCAAAACCAGTTTTATCTTCCACCAAATATTTCCCCTTTGATCTCTACCCAAACACATGAAATACCAATTCTTAATTTCCCCATAACCAAAACCTTCCCTTTGGATCTCCACCTAAATATTCCCATAGTCCATGAGATATCCTTTTCAATATCCCTCTAAGTCAATATACCTATCCTTCAGAAGTTTACCAATCTACCACTAATTCCGTTCCTATAAAAATCCCCATCCACATATATTTCTGAATCCAGTTCTATACTCCCACAAGTATTTCCCCTTTGAAATCTCGTTCATCTAAATTATCCATTCAAGATTTCAAAGACTACCATTTAACTTGGGCCAATAATTCCCTGATTGACCCGACTCTTTGTTATATCCCATTAACCATTTTTATCTTTGGGGTTAAACCAGTATAACTCCCTTTCCGTTGGAATTTAATTTGGATCAACCCCTATCTAAACCTACCCTCTAAAACCTTTGTCTTCTTTTAATCGATCCAAAATATTATGTGTTCAAGTTCCTATTTTAATCAAGCCACCAATTTGATTCCTACGGCTTGATTTCCTCCTCGGCACAAGAACTATACTATCACAAATAATTGAGTGATTGCTCTTGTGCTAAGAAACTTATTTCTAATCCCTTCTATTCAAAATCCAACTTCCTTTAGCCACAAATATTCCACCAAGAATCCATACCACATATAATGGAGGTTAAAATCCTATTTATTTTACCTCCATCCATTTTACCACCATCCCAAAAATTTATCCAAAGTTAGAAATTAAATTATTGCCTTTCTTTCCCTTTGATTTTTTTAAAATATTAAAGAAAATCTTTGTGACAAGTTTTGTATTTGGTTCTTATTGAATTCTATTGGAGCATGTTGATCCTTATTGAATTCTTTTAAAATTGGAGCATCTTTATTTTTATCCTTTTTAAAATTTATATCTCAAAAATAATATCTTTGATATTATTTTAAAAATATTTTAAACTCCTTTTTGCTTTCAAAACTTTATATTTAAATTCTTTTTATAAAGTTCAAAAGATACCAAACATTCCTCTTTTAAATTTTATCTCCATTAAAATCTATTTCAAACCTTCCATTCAAAAATTCCCCTAGTTTTCAATTCCTTTGAATCCTATTCAAATTTCTTGTCCAAAGTTAAAAAGTCCACCAACCTCTTCCTTTAGATCAATTTCCTTTGAATTCTATTTGAATTCCTTGTCCAAATTTAAAAAATCCACAACAATCTATCCTTTAGTTTTCATTTCCTTTGAATTCTATTCCAAATTCTTCCACACAAAATTCTCATGTTTCCTATTCCTTTGGACCAAAAATCCTTCATTAGGCCGATTCCTTCTTTCCTTTCTTTTTCCTCCTTTTCCTTCCACCTCTACTCTATCTTGGGCTGCGCCCGGCCCAGCCGAGCCGAAGCCCAGTCGAGCCGCCTAATTCTCCTCCTCTGTGGGCGCACCACGGCATTGTGCCGCCGCCGCCACCATGGGCGTGGCCGCCTCGCCCAATCCGACGCGCCGCCGCCCAGCTGCGCCGCCCGTGCCACCCGCTGCCGCCACGCAAACACCGCGCCGCCACCGCTGCAAACCGGGGGCACCCCGTGCCGCCCCCTAAGCCTAAGCCGCCGCCGCCATAGCCAATCCGCGGCCGCCGCTGCTCCGCCGCCATCACTCACCGATTCACTGCTGCCGCCCGCTGTTCCCGTCGCCGCCACTCGACGCCGCGCCACGACCTCGGCTGCGTGTCGCCACAGCCATCGCCCACCGCTTTCGCCGTCCAATCGGGAGCCGACTCCCATCTCGCCGGCTCTCACCAAACCGGCTCACACAGCGCCGTGCCGTGTGTACCAAAATTGAACACTTGATTTTGCAAGTACCACAGGATCACTCATTCAATGAGATGAGTAACTAACAGTAGGGAAAAGAACAGGAATACAATAATGAAGCATGCAACAGCAGATCAATGCTGAGCCATTTGCGTCTGGCCGGACGACGACCGGCATCCTATGAAATCGTACGTGAACATGTTTAGGTTGCGATACAGACAAATTCAGCATGGAGATGACCAGTGATCATGAGTGTTTATATGCCTGGAATACCGTAACAATACTGAAAAAAGACGAGATCAACTGAGTGTTCAACCTACTCCATCGATGTACATAGAACAACTGCTGAACTGCCCAATAATTTCCAAGCATGCATGCGTACATAGGGTGTGAAGATATTATCATGCACCCTGATGGAGATATCTTACATGCCCCTGCACTGGTAACGGGATTTGCAGCCACGGCCAGTGTACCTGTCTCCGCGACCAGGGCAAATAGGGTTGCAAGCCGCACCTCTGCCAAGCGGTCTGTAGACAGTGTTGCCACCTTGTAGCACCCTTCTTTGCGGGTACGGCACCGAATCCATCTCACTTAGTTCCTCCGCGTGGCGGGTGCGCTTGCCGCCGGCCACGGCGACGCCGACGGTGGCGTGATCGGCGGTGAGAGCGCCGGCGCCGCTCAGGAGGAGTAAGAATGTCATCACTACAATGGAGGAGATGAGCAGTAGCAGTGGCTTCATCACTGGTTATTCGGCGTTTCCAACGCTGCCAACTAGCAAGCTACCTTAGTCCAGTCCTGTATATATAGGGTGTGTTTAGTTTATGTTAAAATTGAAAGTTTGATTGAAATTGAAACGATGTGACGGAAAAGTTGAAAGTTTATGTGTGTAAAGAAAAAGTTGAGAAATAAACCATGCCATAGTTGGGCACTGCTTGCACTGCTAGCTAGTAGTAACAATAGTGCTGTATACTCTCTCCATCTAGTTTTGATAGACATATTTTTAAATCTGAAAAATTTATTTATGATAGACATATTTAAATCCAACCACCTATCTTCTTAATGATTTTCTCAGATTTAATGTGCAACTCTTCATTCTTTCATACAAGATTGGCTATAATGGACATCGAGAAATTAAATATTAATAACTATCAGGAAGTATTATACTCCGTATGATTTAATTATAGGGTTAGATGGCCATTAGGCGATGCATGCATGCATGCATGCATATTTACATGCGACGGCGACGGCCGGCCAAACGGAAGGGTCTGGAGCTCCACGACGACTACTCCCCACATGCTGATGAGCGGTGTTCTTGTTGCATCACGTACGTGCCGTTCGATGCGTTATCATTGTCATTGTACCGGCCGGTGGCATGTTTATGTCATGTGTCCTTGCACAAACGTACGGGGGTGGTTGTCCATTAGTTTTCTGGGTAACTAGCGCCAAAGTACTACCTCCGTTTTACGTTTTAGGTTATAATATGTTTTAGTTTTTTAAAAGTTAAACTATTTTAAGTTTAGCCAAGTTTGTAGATAAAAGTAGTAAGATTTTCAATCCAAGATAAATTTATTATAAAAATATATATTTAATTATTGATTTGATAAAACTAATTTAGTATTATAAATATTACTATATTTATCTATAAACTTAGTCAAATGTCAAACAGTTTGATTTTTATCAAAGTATAAACATCTTATAAACTGAAACGGATGGAGTATTACAGAACGTACACAACCTAATTAGTATCGGTTGGATCATACCCATATCGGAAAGGTTCCCCCTCACTGGTATCCGCACTCGCCCCCTCTAAGAAATTAAGAACCACATCGATACCGGTCCGCATCGTCTAGTGCACAACCAAAACTGATTATGGGGGGCAATCAATGTCAGCCTACATAAGAGCATCTCCAGCAGGGACACTAAATATAGCCCCTAAACAGATTTTGGGTGTTGAGGCTAAAAAACTCAATCCAGCAGAGCCCCTATGTCACGCCCGGAAATTCACTAGTAATTTCCGAACTTATTTGTGCATAAAATCCTCGTCCAGGAATCAGCCGAGGTACACAAACTGACAATTTAATATACAGATTCATCAAATTAACTAAAACGATAAGTATTTACTTAAGAGGCACTTAGTCCCCACCATGAAGAAAACTGCAGCGGAAAATAAAATCTAGCGAAGCTCCGGCTCCACTCCCACAGGCAACTCAACTGGGGTATAAGCCAGACGTCTTCTCCTTCTGGATCCTTTTTCTTCAACTGAGGTTGATTGATTATTGCAAGAATGAGCATATGACATACTCAACAAGCCACACAGCAAATATGCAAGTGCACAAGGATACCAAAGGTTGGCATAATATAGGCTCATTTGCAAAAACAGCATTTAGCAAAACATTTAAGACAAGTAAAACAGTAGAGTACTTTAATCATTAATTTTAATCAACACTGAACAACACGCCCATGCTGCACAGGCCCAACCATTCTGAAGCAACCATACCCGGCTGTACAGATCTAATCTCCAAACCAGGAGCTAAGCAAATTATTACCAGGTATAGCATCTATAATTATTGTGAGAGGTGTGAGACTAATCACGAAAAACATTGTTCAACCCGCCCATAACCGCGGGCACGGCTATTCGAATAGTTTTACTCTGGCCAGAGGTGTACCACTGTACCCACAAGACACAGCCCCACAACATGTCACCATGTGCCTCAGTACCACCACGGTACCTCGGAAAGGAGCTGTGACAATACCCCTTGCACAACACAATCCACCACAGCGCACCTTTCCTGGATCATAATCACCCCCTTATAAACAAGGCATGGACTCCCCAGCGACCCCCGTGGGCTTATCTCCGCCACTTCTCAGTCTGGTGCTCCGCAATGAATCATGCTATACAAAAGGTAAAGCCGTTGTCCACGCTGGCTTGTGGTTGGCACGATTAATGTTTCACAATAGTAGCTCGCGAACCGGTCCTTAATTGTCATGAGCACGACTCTCAAAACCATGTGCTCACAACCCACCATTATCAAGTTTTAGTTGGCAAGTAATTAATTAACCAATCACGATTGACCATCGTGAACTATCATTAAGCCATCATTAAATAATAGTTAGTCATAAGTTATCCCAATAGTGTGCTACTGTTTCTAAGCATGGCTAAGCAATCATATCTAATATCTAGCTGAACCAATATATATAGCTCAACTAGTCAAGTTATAATAACCCAAGGTATCAAGGAATAAAGTAATCAATGCAAATTGGCCATAACAAAGGAATAAGTTCACACCACCCGGTGACATTCGAAAATAAATGCACAGTTGAAATAAATAGAGAATTTAAATATAGGATCAACATGCTCAAAGGATTGTGTTTAGGATCGGTGTGACTTGCCTTGCAATAATCGGTCTTCAATTAATCTTCTTGAATACTTCCGGCGCACTCGCGAACCTTCGCAACGACGGAAACGACAAGCTAACACGCAAAACGAAGAAAAAGACTAATAAAAACCAAATAAACAATACATAAAAAGTAAACAAACATGTAGATCATAATTTTAGATGAATTATGAGACTTGAACGGCCTCATTCTGACTTCAAATGAATTTATTATGAATTTTACAAGATTAAATCTATTTAAAGCCCATTTAAAAAGGATTAAATAAATTTAATTCAATTTATGGACAATTTTAATATGTAGATCTTTATTTTATATAATTTTTGCAACTTGAACCACATTAAACTGAGTTACAATGAATTAGTTATGAATTTTCAAAGATTAAATCGGATTAAAACACTTATATGGATTTTAATTGAATTATGACGCAATAATGAATTATTTTTGAAAAGGAAAAGGAGGATTATTGCGTCAGCGGCTAGGGTTTGCGGTGGACCGGGTGCACGGCGGCGGTTCACGGAAACGAACGGCCGAGATCGATCTTATCCAAAACGGATGGCCGAGATCGAACGGTCCACGACCGGCTCACGGGAAACGGCAACGATGACGTCAGCGGCTACGTCAGCGATGACGTCAGCACCGGCGGCGGCTCGGCAACGCATGCTCGCCGGCGAACGACGGCGCGACGACGCAAACGGAGGACACCAACGGGTAGAGGGCGACGCGGCGAACTCACTGGTGACCAAAACAACGGCGGAAGGGCAACGGACGGCGCCGGCGACGAGGAAGAAGCGGCGGCGGAGATCGGGTCGACGACGGCGACGGTGCTCCGGCAGTCTTCGGCGGCGGCGAAGGGGCGGACGAGGACGGCGGCGACTTGGCGACCACGATGGCGGTCTTCCCGAGCGACGGCGATGACCGGAACGGCGGCGGCGCACGGCTGGAGCGACGGCGACGACGGTGGCGCTAGATCCATGGCGCTAGGGCTCTTCCGACGGCGAGAGACAAAGGCGAGGGTGGCGGCGGGTAGAGGAGAGCTCGGGGGTCGTTTTAAAGGTGCTAGCGAGCGGCGACGGAGGCCCACGGCGACCGGCGGCGAGAAGGAAAGATCGGGGTTCGGAGGAAAGAGACCGATCCGATTCGACCTCGAATCCACGAACTTCCAAAGCGAAAAAGACGACGATTCCATAAGAGAAAAGATAGAGTGGATCGCGGAGATTGTTTCCCCTCAATCGATTCGGCCGGAGAAGGAAAGGAGCGACCGAATTTGGAAAGCGGCGGCGGCGGCGCAGCGCTAGGGTTTCGGGCGGCGGCGGCGGCGCGAGGAAGATGAACCTGACAGGTGGGTCCCACCTGTCAGCGACAGAGAGAGAGAGGATAGCGGCGGCTCGGCGGACTGGGCCGACTGGGCCGGGGAGGGAGAGAGAAAGAGAGGTTTTGGGCCGGCTTTCGGCCCAAAGCCAAAAGAGACTTTTAAAAACCTTTTTCAATTTAAATTATTCATGAAATGCAATTCCATTTATTAAAAATACTTCCTTAGCTCAAATAAATCCCAGAAAAATCTAGGAATTATAGAATTAAGCAAAGTATTTAACAAAATTTTATCTAGCCCAATTTTATATTGAGATTTAACAAATTAAAATTAGATCTTCTCTTCTAGGCTTTTAAAATCATTTCTAATAATTCCTTTTAAACAACAATTTATAATTTAAGGATTTTAAACAAGAAAAGCTCTTAACAAATATAATTAGATCATTAATGATCAAATAATTACTGAACTGTTCTTTGTATCATTTAGGAATTGAGCTCCGAAAAATCTGAGAAAATTTCAGAGAGTTTACTTAATCATGGAGAATTTAATAAAAATTAAATCCATCCATGCTTTATATTAAGGAAATTTTATTTCCCACATTTAACTTCACTTGTAAATTAAAGATCATTTAATACAAATTCTAATAATAATTTATTAAATAATTTATAAATCCTGAAACAAAAATCAGGATGTGACACCCTATCAAGGATCCTAAATTAGGTAGGCACCCAAATAATCTTTCCAAGCCCCCAGTCTCAGGGGCTCTACTGCACAGCCCCCATCCACGGTTGGAAAAGCTCGGGAGCTGCCCGACGTGGTCTTGGTCCGCCGGCACCTCCCCTGCCCAGTGCTCATTCCCGCCCGGTGCGGCTCCTCCCTGCCTACCGTGTCATCCCTCAAGTGCATTCCTCTACCCGACGCTCCTTCCCGGCCGACGCGTCTGCTGTACCTGGAGTCTCCTCTAGCCTGCACCCTCTGCCTGAACTCGATGAAAAACATGGCCCAGTGGCCGAGTCATGCGATGGCGTCGAGGCACTGGATGATTCAAGTGTTGTTGCAGGCTGCAAAATTGAGAAAGT